TGGTTGTTCCAGCCATCAAAGGAATTGGAGCGTTGCACCCTCTTCCCTTCCTCTTAAGCTACACCCCCATTATGCATTGATTCTTCAGGTCCTGAGCCCCAGTGTGATGATATTCTGGACAGCTGGTTAAACCACTGAAGTGCTGAAGAAACATCACAAGCCAACTCAAGAGCAAGAATCAATGATTTCGCCTGGCCCACTCTTCATTTCTGGCTAAAGAAGAGGGAGAGAGGAGTGAGAAGTGAAAAGACAGATGGGTAGCATGCTTTGGCTCAAGCTCAAGATCTGACCGCTACTAGGGACATTTTGTCAAGAACAGCATTGTTTCTAGTGCCAGTAGACTAGTCTGAGCTCTGTCTCTTTTTCCTGTCTCTGACATTCATGTGGGTGACTTCCAGACAGAGACTAGTAACAGATGTTGGCCGGTTTACCGGAGGAAAAAAATGCTACAGCAACCTGGGCTTAGACATGTATGTAGGTTACTTTTGATCATCCCCAAACCATTGGTTCCTTATGTAGAGATGCCAATGGCACTTCCTGAAGGACTTCAGTCTCTCGGGACTATTAGGATAGCCCTTGAAGTTTTCTCTTCACCATTGTCATGTAATAGAGGCTCCTGGCCTGAGCTGGATCAACTCTTCTCTGGACAGTTTTTCTTAATCAATGGATCTCAAATTTTTTGGTCTCCTAAAAATTATTGAAGACCCTTTCCAAAGAACTTTTGTTTATATTGGTTATATCAACAGATATTTACTGTATTCAAAATGAAAATGTCTTAATATTATTATGAAAACAGTTTTGACCTCATGGACTCCCTGAAGGGGTCTCTAGGACTACCAGAGGTCCTTTGACGACAGTTTGAGAACCACTGTTCTGAGTTACTACTTTACTATCTGTGAATAGTACTTGACTTAGAGCTTCTTTCAAGGAAAGGAGGCTCAGGAAACAATGTCAATGTTTTTGAAGTAGAACTCCCAATAATCAGGGGTCTGAATCTCAATAGGAACATTTCTTTGCTGGCATAAGTCCATTAAAAATTATCTTTATAGTGTGAAGATAGTAAAAAAATCCTCCATCTCCAATTAATCCATTGTAATTAGTTCCCTTAACAGCAACCCCCTAGGATTTGGCTTATTGGTACAGCCCATCCTTTCTGGAATGTGCTACTACTGAGCTTAGGTTTGAGGAGAAGAAATGAGCTTTTCCTTTCCCTGCTCCCTATAAAGAAACACACAATTGAGAGGCAACTTGGTGTAATGAATAGAAAGAGCTGCATTTGGAGTCTAGAAGACCTGGGTTCAAGTGTGATTCTAATGTATACTAGCTGCGTGACCCTGGGTAAATCACTTAACCTTCCTGTGCCCCAGAGAGGGCTGCAGAGCAGATGCCCACCTGCATTGGTAGGAGTTCCTCACTAGATATTCTGTACACTGATGAAATGACAGGTCCCATCCAAAACACAAAAATAAAAATGTACATACAAATTCCTTGATGTTTTAAAGGTTTGGTTTGCTGTGTTCTGCCACTTCACATCATTGGGAACAAAACCTCGTTAGACTTGTATCTTCTTATTCAGAACCTCAAACCCTGGCGATTCTCTTCCCAGATTCCCGTTCTAAATGTCTCCCTCTTTCTACTTCATTGGTAGGTAAGTAATAGTAGTTACACCTCAGGGTTGTCAATAACAGACATCTTCTCTTAAATTTTTCTGTTCCTCAATGACCCCTTTTAGCTTTAAACCCTTCATCATGGCTCAGGCCCTTCCAGGGGCTGCTTTCTACATTTTACATTTCACAAGAAATATATGACAAATATAGTATATAATGATTATTAGATTGTGAGTTCCTTAAGGGCAAGGGCTGTCTTTTGTTTCTTTAGGTATCCCCAGACATTAGCCCAGAGCCTGACACACAGTATGTGCTTAATAAACACGGCTATTAACTACCCTATCTCACATTCTTTTAGCATTTTGAAAGTTTTAGATCACTTTTTCCAAACAATTGAGTGAAAGGAGTAGTAGAACTATTATTATCATTATGACAAATGAGGAAAATGAGGTTCAGAAAGTGTAACTTACTTCCCCATTATCAGTCCAAGTCAACAAACGTTCATTAGAGGCTTACTTTGTACCAGGGAATGAGGCTAAGAACTGGGGATACAAAGAAAGGTAAAACAAGATCATGGTCCTCAAGAGATAGTAATATGTAAATGTGCATACAAGGTAAATACAATGTAAACGGAAGGAATGCACCATCAGCATAGGAGAAGTGGGGGAATGAAGGAGATCAGATAAGGCGTTCTGTGGAAAGTGAACAACCCTAGTAAGTGCCAGAACTGGGGCTCCCAACACAGGTCAATACCGTATATAACATTGAACATGTCCCATTTTCCCCTCCAATAATTAAGGACAGGGTAAAGAACCAGTCTTCCTTACAATAGTCCCCTTATGATATGACCATCATCATTAAAATTTCATCTATAAGATGCTGTGATGGGGAAAAGGAAGAAGGGCTGTAAAAACTAGAAACTCCCAGAAAAATTCAGAAGGTAGGAAACTCCCACTCAGTAATACAGATAATCCATTACTCTATAAGCTGACAATCAAAATTTCCTGTGGTTCTTTGTCCTAACACAGGCTTTCAAATTCCACAGAAGTCAGAGTTAAAACTGATACTCCAGGGAAGCAAGATGAGAAAAACAGAAGTGTAAGTTCTTAGAACATGAAAAGACTGAAATTAAAGTTTGGGTATAGTCCAGGAGAGGCACTTTCAAGGAAAGAGTGAGAAAACTATTCGTAAATTAAGTTAAAGTCAACTCCTAAATTATTAGCACTTATGGAGAGGAGAATGGGTAACTGGTACATACTTTCAAAATATCTTTAGCTTTGGAATCAGCTTTCTGTGAGGGAAAGCAATGTCTTGAAATTCATAAGGAAAAATATTTAGCTATACTGAGTTAATCTAACAGTACTAACTGGGAAGCTGCCCAACCATTCCATCCCAAAAGATTCCAAATGAAAAATCCTTGCTCCTACTCAATGACAGTCCTAGATACCCCTTCTGTCTCAACTGCCACAAAATTAATCTTTTAGTTTCTGAACCGATGGAAGTGGTCAAGTGCCTGAGTTCCAAGGGGCTTCTCTATGTTCCAAAGACAGAGTTATACAGTTCATAAAAGTGGCATTTAACAAATATTCATTGGCCCACAATACTAATGCAAATCTGCTTCTTCCTTTCCTACCATCTGTTACTTCCCCATTCACCATCAGTTACTAAATACAATTTGATTAATTGAATAAAAGACAAAAAAAATTTGGTCTTTCATATTTTAAGATGTACTTGATGAATTGATTTTAACATATGGCCATTCATTGGCATGTGTTGAATTTTGACTGGATAAGAAGTGTTAGAATGGACTAGATGGTTTTTAAGGTCTTTTTGGTTCTACATCTGTGATTCTATGACCTGAATTCAAATCCTGTCTCTGATCCTATGTGACCCTGGAGAAGATATTCAACTTTATTGTACCTCAGACAACTCTCTAAGACTTAACTATGAAGTTAAAGGCAACTAGATTTCTTCACAGTGATCCTTGGAGTAAACAAACCAAAATGCCTCAAAAAAAGAAACTTAAATGCAAATTTGATATACTTGGTTTTTCTTCAATGAAATTGTCCTCACTTTGTGGCTTCCAGAAATAAAGAAATACCAATCCGACCCTCAAAATGTACCTGAAGTGAAAAATATCCATTTTACATGACTAGTGAGGTGTCAAGGCTCCTCACAAGCCACTTTGAGGGGAGAAATGTCGTTTCCACATAGTGATTCATGGGAGCCAAATTTTGAATTCCCTTCATGAGACGGTAATACTACATGTTGTAAATGCCTTCTGCCACCCTTATTCCCACCCCACCTTGATTTTATTGGAAATAATAAGATTTCAAGCTAAAAGGGAATTTAGAGATTATTTTATTCACCTGTATCATTTTACAGATGAAGAAATCAAGGCACAAGGTGTACATACTTCATAGGTAGGTGGTACTAGTAATAGCTAGAGCCTGAACCCAAGTTGTCCCAGCCCAAATCCAGGGGTTTTTCCAGTATGTCATGATGCCTACTTTGTCACTGACAGTCATAACTATGCCCAAGTTACTGACTGAATCAGAACTGGAGCTAGTTCCTGTAATTTCCTCCCTGGCTCTATTTAACTTTAGATACAAAGGGAAAATTATAGAAGAGAGTTGTCTTGGGGCTGATATGGTTCAACTTCTGGGGTAAAGGAGGATGCTTGTGTTCTCTGTCATATGAAGGAAGAGAAGGGGAGGTAGTTGTTCTTCTTGACCATAAAGATCTCTTCCTCCCATATCTTGACTATAGCATGACAAGAAATTTGTTTCCACAGGATGAAACATCAAATGCTGCCTCCTACTATGGAAAGTTATGAAAGGATTTTAATTTGCTTGTGTTTTTTTTTTTCCCTCCCATTCTTCCTTCCCTGAACTTCTCTGAAAAACTTTCCCTTCTTTGAACAGATTTCCTTTTAACTTATCTTTTGAAGCAACACTTTCATGACCTTGTTGTCTCCAGACCCATGTCTTTCTCACCTCCATTCTTTACTTCCTCAAAATAAAATCTTAAAGGATTTTTACAGGTGCCACCGCCCAACACCATCAAGCCCCAAATTTGTTCTCAGAGTAGACTTTTGTTGATGTTGTTTAGTCGTTTTCAGACACATCCAACTCTTCGTGACCCCATTTGGGATTTTCTTGGTAAAGATACTGGAGTGGTTTGCCATTTCCTTTTCCGGTTCATTTTACAGATGAGGAAACTGAGGCAAACAGGGTTAAGTGACTTGCCCAGGGGTCACCCAGCTGGTTAGCGTCAGGGGCCAGATTTGAACTCAGGAAGATGAGTCTTCCTGATTTCAGGCCTAGCACTCCATATCCACTGCACCACCTAGCTGCCCCCAGAATAGACTACTCTCATTGTAATAACAGAGACTTAACAAATTCATAATTTTATTATACTCTGAATAGAGGTGATATTTAAAAAGCAGAGAAATTGACTATACAAAGAATTTATAGGACATTCATTTACATACTGAATATGTTTTTTTACAGTATGGAGCAAAGGTAAAACATCTACTAACAGATAAGGCAGAGAAGGCAATGTTAACATGTCAATGATATTAAAGATACACTGGCACCATTTAATTAAGCGTGGCTTTTTAGCATGTCCATATTGTAACACTGAAGGATTATAGCAATACAATTTAATAAGCAGGTTAATAGGTGCCTGGCTACAAATACATGTGGCAAAAAGCTAATATGAGTTTACCAGTCTTTCTTTCCAGTACTGCATATACACATCTTGAATCATCCTGGGGGAAAGCCTGTTATGTTAACAGTGTGACGCACATTTGTCACAAAAAGAATGCTGTGTGACTGGATAATGCTATTTACTACCGAGTATACCTTACAGTTTTTCTTCTGAGTATGTAAAATTATTTCATATATTTCTAATATATGTGGTAACATATCATAAGAGAAACACACTGTGAGAGCTCTCCTTAGAACCATAAAAATGGACTCTACTTTTCCTGCTAAGAAGAGTCAAGCTCCTAGTGGATTTTCCCTGATGCTCTTTTGAACACAGAGCAAAAATTGAAAAAGAGCAAAAAATAAAAATAAAAAATAAACATGCCAGTAAATGATCTTTAAAAAAAGAATGGCAACCTTCAGGCTCTAGAGTCCTTCCTGAATACACGTGGGCATGAAATCCTGTGAAAATATCTTGAAAATTCCAAGTCACTGGATACTGGCAGGAAAGAAGGGGCCCCAATTTCACAGCATTCTCTTCAAAAAGAAGGATTATTCGAACCTGACTTTAAGTCCTAAACAACCTTTCTTCTTCTTCCTTTGTGGGGGCAGCCTTTCTAGGATAGTTACACTCTCGGAAGATCCTGTAATTTAAGCCCTCTCAATCATTTCGTTTCCCCAAACTTCTGATGAAATGAACACTGTTGGACTGGACACTCCTTGGAAGTGATTTAGGAGTTAAAATTCTGCCTGATTGATTGTTTTTAAGGCACACAGGATCTCCAAAATGTCTAAGCAGCCTCTTCAAATGGCAATGCAAATATTACATGATGAGTAAATGTGTAACAGAATCATAAAGTATTTGGCACAGAAATGAGGCCCTGGCCTTTGTCATGTCAACTGCAGCAAGAAGTTATCTACCTTTTAGCTTTATATACAATGCCCACTGCAACTCAGTCAATTCCAATTGCATTTGAGCTGCCATCTTCTTCCCTGCCTTTTGCTGCCCTGACCCATGCATTAAAATAATCTCTTTATAAGAGTAAATTTTCAAAGCCTAAGTTGGTCACTATGATTCTTGCATAAAAGAAGCACTGATATGTGATCCTGGGAATGGTAGGAGGATATTATTATTAAGAAAAATTTTAATGGGGGATACTTAGGGGTCTTTGAACATTTATTCAGCACTTTGTGCACAACAGAAGAGAAAGTTAATGTTTCATCAACCAGGCAAAGTCCTGGATCATTGGTCCCAGCAGAACTTCACCAATGGCAGATTTGCAGAGAAAATCATTTAGATATAGAAATATACACAAGTACTTATTTGCTCATATAATACAGCAGCTAATATGACAACCAAAAAAGTTTATATTTTCAAGAATCATCCCTTTTCTTACCTTCATTCTTAGGATGCCACACTCAGGACTATAATACAAAGCAAACCACTTAGCAGCGTGACAAGATCCACATGAGAACTTATAAAGGCGCAAGGTGCCCTATATATCAGCTTGTTTCTATCCTTACAAATGACATCCAAAATAACAAGCAGATGCCAAGGCAAGAGTTTAACAAAATAATTTTCTTTTTCCCTACTGGATGCATTAGTTGATTCTATCCACAATAAAAAAAAAAAAATTTGGGCACAAAAACCTTAAAGAAGTGAACTTGATGAACCAAAATATTGAGAAACAAATTCAAATATGCAAAAAGACTTTCTGTTAAAACGGTATTTCCAAAATACAGGATGTGTTTTAACAACATCATAAGAAAATGTTGACATACTTTCTAAGCAAGGCACATGCAATAGCATATACTTCAGATACAGTAACACAAAAAAATGCAAAGTTCAACAAGGTGTCTAGTAAAGAGTACTCATACAATATAGCAATATCAAATTTCTACCATAAATAATCTGGCATAGGCAAAAAATATAAATTATATAAAATCATTTTTTTTTGCTTTTCCCTCATTTTTATCCTGCTATTACTTAAAATGGTTTCTTTCTTGCTTGACTCTTCATACAAAATATATTTTTTTAAGTGAACAAAATACATCAAGCCTTCACCATACAATTTTTAAAAATGACATCTCTAACTTTTCATAAAGCACAACGACCTCAATCATTCCCAGATTTAGACCTTACAACATCAGTATCCCTGCACCTCTGTCTTCATGGTCCCTGAAAAAAAAAATCAACCTACACTAACCTTCATCAGACATACTTCCCCCTTCTCAGTTCAACTCTAGTCTTGGTTATGGAAAGATGAAGGGAAGAGAAAATGATTGTACAAAAGGCCCATTATCCTCTCAAAGAATATCAGTTTGTGAGGGTCACAGCTACTGTGGATGCAAAAAGGACAAGTGTCTCCATAAGGCCATGCATGCAGTTCTATTATGTATTAAATCTCATAAAACTCATGTAATATAGTGAGTAACCAGGCAATCATTCCATTGTTCACCCAAGAGATACTGGGGAAGGTGAAGAAGGGTACACGAGCTTTTCTCTTTCAAAGTTTGTCTCCAAAATGGACTCTCTGGATAGGTACAGATGCTCCAGACACAGCTTCTTTTATTTAGAACTTGGCACTTGGCTGTGAAGATGTTTCAAGAGACAAGAATTTTCTCTTGAGAAAGGCCAGGAATTTTGAAGTCTTTCTTTTAAAATAAGAAAAAAAAAAAAAGCAAGGAAGGAAGAAGAAAAACGTACAACAGGCAGAAGGTTCTGTTTTTCTTCTTGGGATCGGTACATTTCAGTAAATCGTTCAAAAGGACGCCATCCCTCCCTACTCACACTAAAGTCTGAAGGGCAGTCTATTTGGCAGGGAGGCTTCAGATCTTTTTGGGTGAACCAATCATGACCTTTGATACAAAGTTCACAATGGCACTGGCGGGCTGCTCGGGATCATGTTCTGCAAACAGGTGGCACACGTTGTCTGTAGCGCTCCCTTGTTTTCTTGCAACAAATCCAAATACTCTGGAAAAGGCAATTTAAAAATTAAATGGGCAACACGTACACAGAACCATAGTTACCCTGTACAAACATTCACACACCATTTTCCCCTTACTATTTAATTCAATCACGTCACAGCTAGAAAACATCTCCTCGTTATAACAGTGTCTAACAAAACACACCTGTGATTATCTAATCTGCTTTATTTGCTAGTACACGGGTCATTTCTTATATAAAGAGAAGTGGCATCATCATTTTCATTATCATAACTAACATCTGTATAGGGTCTACTATGTGCCAGGCACTGTGCTAAGCTCTTTACAAATATTATGTCATTTGACCCTAGGAGGTAGTTGCTATTATAATCATTATTTTACAAGATGAGGAAACTGAGGCAGAATTTAAGTGACTTGCCCAGGGTCACATAGCTAGTGTGTATCTAAGACTGGAATCAAACTTAGCTCTTCCTAACTCCAGGCTCAGCTCTCTATCTGCTGCACTTATTACCATTATTGGTGAAGATTGACCTTAGATCCTGACTATACCAAAAAAATAAAATACATTCAGACTGTGTAGGAAAGATGACAGTGTCTTGTAAAGAAAATATATGTACATGTATATATACATATCTGTGTATGTGTGTGTGTATATACATACATATGTGTGTATATATATCTATCTATCTTTGAGATCTATAAAGCGCATTAACATATGGCATATCATTTTATCATTATAACTATAGTAGCTATCATTATCATCCCCATCTTCCAGAAGAGGGAACTGAGATTGTGAGAGTTTACAAGGTTTGCCCTGGGATCTCACTGCTAGTAAGTGTCTAAGTATTTGAACTCAGGTATTTCTGAATCTAAGCCCTATAACTAACCACTACAACCAGGGAATTTTTATCTAGCATTCATGAATTTATTTTTACAAACATTTTATAATTATATGTTGATATAATTTTCCTTTGTAATCTTATTAGTTTTATACATTTCATTTTATGCATTTAAAATTATCATTCTGAAATAGGGTCCATAGGCTTCACCAGTCTGCCAGAGAGGTCCCTCTAGCTCTCTCTCTCTCTCTCTCACTCTCACACACACACACACACACACACACACACACGTTAAGAACCTCTGCTCTATTCCAAATTACCTTGCTACAATTATATTTGAAATTTGAAAATTGGCATGGCTCACATATAAGAAACATTGTAGACCTTTCAAAAACACAAGTCAAACACATAGGGTCTGTTTTCCCTTACTTTTGTATTCTTAAATTACAAACTCTAGAAAGGGTGTCCCAAAATTCTAAGTGAAATTTTAAGCTGTGTCAGGCTTAGCTGCTTAAAACTTCACTAAGGCTTTTAGGAGTTCCCCCCACCCCCCATAAACTTTTTTTTTGGGGGGGCAATTGAGGTTAAGTGACTTGCCCAGGGTCACACAGCTAGTAAATGTCAAGTGTTTGGGCTGAGGGCAGATTTGAACTCAGGTTCTCCTGACTTCAGGGCTGGTGCTCTATCCACTGCACCACCTAGCTGCCCCTAGTAATATTGTTTTTTCTTTTTCTTTTTTTTTTTTTTTGGCTAGGCAATAGGGTTACTTGCCCAGGGTCACACAGCTAGTGAGTGTTTTGTGTCTGAGGCCACATTTGAACTCAGGTCCTCCTAAGTCCAGGGCCAGTGCTCTATCCACTACGCCATTTAGCTGCCCCGCCCCCATAAACTTTTAAAACAAAGAATAGCATTTAATTATTTTCTTCAAAGAGTTGAAGTCACTATTTATGCTAAATGTGGGTAAATAGTGGTTCTGGAGTCAGAAGACCCAAGTTCAAATCCTATCTCTGCTGCTTACTATCTGTGTTACCTTGGGTGAGTCAAAGCACCTTCATGTACCTCAGTTTCATCATGTGTAAAATAAGGAGGTTGACCTAAAAGGTCTCTGAAATTCACATCAGCTCTAGATCTATGATTTTACGTTCCTTTTTTTTTTCCCCCAGTTGGAAGGACGCTAGCTTTACCGAAGGTGAATAACCAAGGATTCCAAGGCAGGGGATATTTATTGATAACCATAGTTTAAATCAAAGATAATAAAAAATACTTTTTTTGAGAGCAGAGACTGTATTTTGTATTCCACCCAATGTCTAGAAGAATGTTAGCACATACTATTTACTCACTCAAGGAACACTCACAAATTGACTAAAAGACCTAAGGACTGTAGCCAGGCATGAGAAATGTAGTGATCTTTCCCTAGAATTATATATACTAATTTATGAGATAGTCACTGGATATTCACATATAAAGATCTAACAGCAAGATAGAAAGGTCTTTCCTACTTGAGTTAGGAAATTCCCATGGCCCTCTAACTCCTTCACTGAGCTCCACTGACCTCAAAACTATTCTAGTCTTTACTAAAAGGTACCTTTAAAAAATACAATAATGATGTATAATCTCTTTTATTTTAATTAATGATGGTTGGCAATATCTCTTTTTTCAGGCTACATATAGGTTATGTCATATTATTCATAGTACATAAAGAGGAGAGACTTCATGAGCATCTTTGCCCATTGGCAAGCCTTCCTCTAAATATAAAATATTATACTCTGTCAAAATAAATGAAGGGTTATTCTGTGGCAAAAGGATTAGCCTTGCTCTAATTTGCCTCAGAAGACAGAACCATAAACAATGGATAAAGTAGGCAAAAATAAAAGCAAATTTAGGTTTGATGTAAGGGAAATTTTCCCAACAATTAGAGCTATTCAAAGTGACATGGGGTGCTTTGGTTAATGGGTTAACCTTCATTGGAGTCCATCAAGCAAAGGCTAAATTACCACTCACTGGGTCAGGTTTGACTAGATGAGTATTGAGACCAATTCTAAAATTTTGGCACTCCTATGATTTAGTTCTTGTCCTGAAAAACAAGGAGGAAGCTACATGTTCCTAACAAGAATCAGGGCGGTCTTACATGTTCTGATGGGCATGGTAACAATTTAGAAAGATTGTGCTAAGTGATCATCTGTGGAAATTGGGACAAAAGTTCAAGTCTACATAATGACTCCAAGCTAAAAGCGTCTATACTTAAAGATAAAGGAATCCAGATAATGATGGGCAACTTACTTTGCCGAAGGGCCATCTTTGATCCACCTTGTTATACATGAAAGAGGAAACAAAAGGAAAGCATTAGTTCTGTTTACATTTTCAAGGCAAAGTTAAAGATATACACATTTATTAACAAGTGAAAATGCCTTACTTCCTGTCCTGTGGATCCAAAGCACAGAAAATGACAGTGTTCACTGGATAATGTCTTCGGAAGAAAAGTCTGTTAAAATGAAACCGAAGGAGAAAAATCAGTGTTTTCAGCATTTCTCTTTTAAGATTGAGGTATGGTGATGATTATTAGTGCAAGTAGGAGCACTCAGTAGAATATCTTGAGAGGCAACATGATAGTGTATAAAAAGACACTGGATTTTGTGGCAAGAGACATAAACTTCAGCTTGGCTTCTTCTTCTATCTATGTGCAACTAGACAATTCACTTAATCTCCCTGAGTTTCACCTTCCCTCTATGCAAAATGAGAGCTCTGGATTAGCTATCTCCAAAGTTCCTTAAATCCTATGATGACTCTTCCAGTATTATTTTCTTGCTTTATAAATGTCTTGGAGGAACAGATGAAAAGTAGGCCCACTGTACTTGTAGCTTATGTTATTACTCTGGAAGATAATAATAGAATTCAAAGTAATCTTTACATTTTAAGGAAACGATTTTTAAAAAGATACAAACACAAAAAGTCATGTTGGTATTCATGGAAGGAAGGCCATTACCTTGGACCAAAGGTTAGAGAAAATTACAGTATGAGAAAAAGAAATCTTCCTACACAATCATAACAGGAAAAGCACCCAAGGGAAAGACTTTGTCCACATCATGACCAGTCACTTTGATGACATGATTAAGTCATCCAAGGCTTCAGTAATGTGCGTGTGCCAAAGCCACAGAAAATAAAATGCTACTATTGTAAACAGTAAGTAATTAAAACAGGGCTGTTATTAAAGAGGGTAGTAAGGCATGTAAGATGATGTATGTAACCTCTCTGCTATACTTGGCAGTTGCCTGATAAAACTGTTAGAATAATACGCCTGGCATGCACTTCCATACTTCTGAAGGGAAAGGAATTGGCTTTATGATATTATTGGTACAGGGAGTTCCCAGGTGAGGAAACTCCCCTCTACCAATGTAGGTAGGCACCTTGTCTGCAACATAGAGTCTTAGAGAGTTTCCTAGAATCTTGACAGCTTCAGTGACATGCTCAGAGTCACTTGGCAATATGTGTCAGAGTTGGAAGTCACACCCTGGCTTTCTGGCCAGATCTGCATCCGTTATATCACACTGCCTCTCTCTACGAAATTGTAGAAAAATGATTGAAAGGAGCTTCCCAAATGAGATTTTGTTTCAACAAGAAAAGGAAAGGAAAGGTTGGGATCTTGCTAAGCTTGAAAACCACCAAAAACTATAAAGGATTTTTGACTCAATAGGGCCACCCAGAAACAGATAGAGAAAAGCAAGCAAAGTAACATCATAACTTAGACAAACCCTACAGAGGGCACTTACTTCCGCTGATTGTCAGTCAATGTAATTCCCTGGGCAGACACTTTGAAATGGACGACTGTAGAAATGGGAGGAGGATCTTGAACCAGTGTCATGCTCAAGGCCTTCTGTACAGCTTGGTAGCCTGTGAGTGACTCCATTTCCACGGAATTTAAGTACCAAACATTGCAGGCTGTCAAGAGTGAAAAACAAAAACAAAAAAAGTTTAACATCATCTTCTTTTCTTTTATTCAACGTACTAGTTCTTTTTTATTATACAGGCAATCGGTCATCATTAATTATATATTTAAATGCTACTACATTTCAGAAACTCTGCTAAGGCACTCAGAATAGATTTCAAATAAAAATGTGAGGCAGTCCCCGCCATCAAGAGGTTTGTTTTCTAAAAGTAATATGTGTATGTGTGTGTATGTACATATATAAACACATGGCAATTTTGTTGGGGTGTGAGTGGGTTAAGGAACTGAGAAGCCACTAGCAGTTGGGAGGAATAAAAAAAAAAGCCTCAAGTAAGAGGAAGCACTTGAATTACATTTTGAAGGAAGCTAATTATTCTGTACGGAGGAGGGAATGACAACATGTGGGGAGGGGATCTGGGGCATCAGGTATGAGAAATACAAGATAGGCCAGTTTGGCTGGAACAGAGAGTGTGTGAAATGGAGTAATAGTTGATCAACCTAGAAAAGTAGGCTGGAGCTAGGTTGTGGGAGCCACTTAATGCCAAATAGGAATTCTTATTTTATCCTAGGGGTAATAGGGAGTGCTCCAGGAGCTTTCAGAACAGAGGAGTGACATGGTCAGATCTGTGATGTTATTGCACAATGAACACACAATTCAATGAACATTTATACTGAGTGTCTACTATGTGCATGGCACAGTGCTATGTTCTAGGGATATAATAATAATAATAGATGAAGAAGAAGAAGAAGAATAGCTGCATTTATTTAACATGGTAAAGTCTGTAAAGCATTTTACATTTACCTCATTTGATAAAGACATTTATAGTACTTGGAAGTTTGAAAAATGCATTTACACATCTCATTTGAGTCTCCCTACTTCCCTCTGAGGAAAGTATCACAGGTTTTATTATCCCCAATTTATACATAAGGAAACTGAAATTCAGACATATTAAGTAACTAATTCATTTTAATATAGATTGTAGGAATCAGAGGTTGAATTCGAATCTAGGTTCTCCTGGTAATATTCAATCTACTATACTACCCTACCTCCTAATACAGCCCTGACCTTGAAGGAGATGACATTGAGCTGGAACGATATAATACACATACATATAAGGAGACTATATCCTAATATGATGAGAGAGAGAACAGTAGTGACTAAGAAGATAAGTGAATGCTTCGAGGAGATGATGGCACCAGAGCTGAGTACTGAATAAAAATAAACAATGTAAAAGGCAAAGATACAGTCTAAACAGAGGGAATAACTGGTGAGAATACCCACAGGAAGCTGAAAGAACTCTTAGGTCAGGAAACAGTCTGTCATCTAGTTTTGTTGGAATGTAATGTGGCAAGGGGAGTAATTTGGAATAAAGCTGAGATCAATCAATAATCACTGATTAAGCAGCTTATTGACTTATGGATCTCAGTGGCAATAAAGATGGTGTGAATTTTCCTATCTGCCTCATTAGAACATACCCCTATGTCATTAACTTAATTATTGGTTAACCTGCTCAATATGAAAATTCAGAAAATAAAAATAATTTACAGGCAATATAGAATATAGGATGAATATCATTTGCAAAGCTCCCTCAAGGAAAGAAACTATGATAATTAATCCTCAACTTTTGAATGCCCCATACAGTAAATAAGTGGCAAAGGGCTTTGAGACTATAGCTCTGAACCCAACTCCTAGAATGGGTCAGCTGGACTAATTTTGAATTCATAGAAAGATATTGATCTTTTAAAGCTGCACTTTCACTTGTGAAGAGACAGAGGTACAGGCAGGTTATTTTAACATTGTTATGGAACTATAAGAGGTATATTCATTTTCCAAAAATAAATTTTTATTAATATATTTTGTTTTTAAATTATCTAAATTTCCCCCTGTATCCCTTCTCCCTTTTCTGTCCCATAGATCCATCTCTTATAACAAAGAATAATATATTCTTCTAATGTGGAGTACTGGAAAGAGTTTGAAGCCTTGGAGAATATAGTCTAATCAAGTCTTATCTCTGGTGTCCTCTATAGGTTTCTGATTCCTCATGTGCAAAATAAGGGGGTGAGGCAGACTGATGGATCTGGTAATCTGGTAGATATATGTTGAATGCTAAGTCATAGTCAATGTTCCTGAGAAGAGCATGGAAAAAGATGCAGTATGGCATAGTAGGCAGAGAATTGGCCTCAGGTCAGGAAGATGTGGCTGTTCAAAGTCCAGCCTCTGGACACATACTAGCGGTATGTATGATCCCACGCAAATTACTTAACCTCTCATTGCACTCCTCCCACCCACCCCCACCTCACACACCAACATTTCTCTAAAACTTTCATTTGCAGAACAGTTGCCATCTACAATTGGTAGAGGGAATTGGCTCATGGGGAGTTCCAATCACCAATGGAATAACAGGTCTGGACCAAAAAGAAAGAAATAGAGCAAAACACTAAACAAAGAAAAAAATAGGTTTTGGGAAATGGTAGAAAGAGTGGAGGATTGGAGAAAGGCAAATGTTTTTGTAACTTTCAAATAAAGAGATGAGAATGGAAACAGGCCACTAAGCTTGACTTCAACACCTGAAAACACTTTAGAAAGTATTATTAAAACAGTCAGCTAGAAAAGGAAACAGTGACCATTAAGAACCACTATGGCTTTATCAAAAACGAACCATGCCACACTAACCTAAGTTCCTTTGCTATCAGGATTGTTGGTTTGGAAGTGCTCAAGATATAATGTACCTAGATTTTAGCAAAGCATTTGATAAAGCTTTTCTTCTCTTCTTGGGTACAAGATAGAAAAATATAAGCTAGATCCTGGTAGATTTAGACAGATTCAGAGCTAGTTTAGTGGCTGGATTAAAAGGGTAGTCAGTCATTAAAGAGTTTGATATCTGTTTGGAAAGAAGACACAAGTGGTTCTAAGTAGCTAGGTGGCTCAGTGGATAGAGAGCTGGGCCTAGAGTCAGGAAGATTTGGGTTCAAATCTCGCATCAGACACTTATTAGCTGTGTGACCCTGGACAAGTCACTTAATCCTGTTTTCCTCAGTTTCCTCATCTGTAAATGAGTTAGAAAAGAAAATGGCAAACCAATGTAGTATCCTTGCCAAGAAACACCTAAGAAGGGGTCACAATGAGTTAGACATGACTGAAATGATTTAACAATAACATTAGTGGTCTTGCCCAGGGATTTGTGCCTGGTCCTACACTGTTTAACGCTGTCATCAGTGGCTTGGATAAAGACTTGTGAAATTTGCAGATGACACAAATCTAAGAAGGATGGCTAACCCATGGGATGACTTAGTAATCATCAGATCACATCTGCGGCAGTATGCTAAGTTCAGGAGACCATATTTTATGGAAGGTGGTGGTAAGCTGAAGAATGTCCAGAGAAGGGAAACCAGGATGAATGTGATCATGACATTTTAAGACTGGCTAAAGGAACTGGTTACGTTTAGTCTGGAGCAGAGAAGAGAAATCTGATGGGGAAAATGCTAGCTGTTGTTAATGTTTTGAAAGACTGTCATATAGAAGGAGGATTAGACTTGTTCTAGTTGTCACTTAACCCTGTTTGCCTCAGTTTCTTCATCTGTAAAATGAACTGGAGAAGGAAATGGCAAACCACTCCAGTATCTTTGCCAAGAAAACCCCAAATGGAGTCATGAAGAGTCAAGACACAACTGAAATGACCGAACAACAACAGAAAATTTGGACGTAGATGACAAAACTAGGAGCAAATAATGGAAAAGAGGCACATTTGGTCTGGATGTAAGAAAAAATAATTCTTGACAATCAGAATTATTCAAACATAAGCTGCTGCATGAGACAGTAGGCTTCCCTTCATTAGACATCTTCAAATATAGCCTGTATGCCAACTTCCCAGGAATACTGCAGAGGAAACTTTAATTCAAGTACGAGAGGGACTGGTCAGCCTCTGGGATTCTGTGACCATATCTCTAAAGGCCCTTCCAGATCCAAATGGGATGCTCCAATACCAACCTCGCCCACTGGCCAGAGTTTCCTCATGAATAAAATGGGAATAATAATTCTTATATCTCACAAGTTTGTTGTGGGGAGAGAGTTTTCTAAAATTAAAAACTACATAAATAATGAGTTGTCATCTTATTACCCAACTGGACGGGAACAAGTTAAGACTGTGATTGTGAATACCACTGTACTATAAGAAATAATGAGTTTGGTGATCTTAGAAAAACATGGAAAGATTTGCACAAAATAATAAAGCTTGAAATGGGCAGAACCAAGAGAACATTGTATACAGTAACAGCAATACTGTTTTAAGACAACTTTGAGTGAATAAGTCATTTTGAATATTGTAAATATCCAAAGGAACTATATAGTACACATAAAGGAAGACACTATTTGTGGGTAAAGAAAGAACTGATAAATAGAAGTATGTATAAGAATGATTTTATATATATGTATGTATGTACGTAGGCATGTATGTGTACACACATATTTGTGTCTAATGGTAGCTATCTCTAAGATGGGTGGGAGGGGAGAAAAAAAGAAGAAAAAAGAAATTTACGAGATAAATTTACTATAATTTTGAAAGGAACAGCAGGTTGTATGTACATAATAGATTTGCAATTTCGTGGACAATCTTTTTTATTATACTATGTTATGGAAATGCTTGTTTTATCCCATAAATTAAAAATAAAATAGATAATTTTTTAAAAAGTTAACAAGTTACTATGTAGCTCCATGGTCAGAGGATTATTTAACCCATTGCAAAGGGTGTCACCATTGTTGGGGGAAAGGCTTTTCTTAGCTCTGATTTTTGGAGCTTGAATGGTATTTTCCTAGATAAAGTGTTAAAAATGGTGATTTAGAATTAGTTGAGATAGTATCAGTAGTATAAAAGGTCAACTACATTCTGGGGTTAAAGAGGCTTTGTGTGGGCCTCCTTGGGAATCTCAGAACATTTATAACACTGTTTCTCTCAGAAAATGCATTCTGAATTTCCTATTAAACTTTAGGAACACA